TTTACTGATCCTGGTAGAGTAGACTACAATGCCGGCTGTTCTGACTCACATACTGTAAGTAAGTTTTTTATATTTAAAGAATTTGCCACTGATGATTCAAACGCGAGTTTTGGGCAGTGTAGAGTAGCGTTTGTTGTTTGTCATTTCTCCGATCACAAATGCAGACATGGTTTTATGTTATGCTCCGGCCGGGACACAACATCACAGTATGGTAAGGGGCGTAACATTTCTGTCACACGCTTGAGGTATTTGGCCAATCACAACGCACTGGATAGCTGGCCAATCACAGCACACCTCGCTTTTCAGACCAGGGCATAGAGGAGAAACAATAATGTACAGTATGTGGAAAATAATGTGTTTTTTGAACCTTAAACCGCATAAACACATTTCATTACATCAAATACACGAAATAATGTTATTTTTAGCAACATCATATGACCTCTTAAGTTTACTGAAGGAAAATCTGTCAATTGGATTGAATTTCATGTTTATCACATAATTTTATGCTAAATTCTCTTTATAATACCATCTTAATACCCTTCCTCTGTTGTCTGACTCACATTATCAGTGATCATGGCCGAAGTAAACACCATTTCCTACTACCAGTGATCAGTTAATGAGACTGCAATCGTCTGTTTGAAGTGATCAAAAGTAGTCCGTTTTGCTTGTGTTTGTTCTCCTCCAAAGATTAACATTTATTGTTCTGTCTCTCTGCCAACCATCGATTCATGTGTGTTTGTCCTTCGACCTAACTTCACTTTTAGGACAAATAGCTCAAATGTCCCCTAGAGTCTGACAAAATCTGTATGTATAGGCTCTTTGTAACGTTACATAACAAAATAATTAATCTATAGAACAAAGTGTTCATTTAGTTCCATAAACGCTCCGGCTTTCTTTAGCTGGCCTTTTCGGTTGTGTGTGTATCTTTCATGGCTCTCCAAACAGGAAATGGTGTTAATTAAGAGGTATTTTTGTACACGTGATGACCGGTATCTCACTCTAATTAGCGGGTCTCTTTCCCCCTGATGCACGCACGCACGCACGCACGCCTCAGCTGAACACACAGTGATTGGACGCTTGACTTTGACCTGTCAGGTGAATGACCGCGTACGCGCGTGTAACGGTCCGGGGGTTAAAACCACCGCAGCGCTCAGAAGTTTTGGAGTTGTTAAAGCTCTACTCGGTGAAGTTTTGGGACGCATTTGAACTGGTGGAAAAAAAATGATGGCAGCGAGATTTGCTCTGTGCGTCCACGTAGCGCGAGCGACCACACGGAGTTCCACGTGCATTTTGGGACATGAACACGCGCGCAGCCTCAGCAGTGACACAGGTTTGCCTGCATCCATCTCTCTGTGTTTCCATCCCAGAACAGGACATAGCTGGTGAAGAAACATTGAATAATAATAGCAAAATAATAACAATAATACAAGAAGCTTTCTTTAAGGCGAAGGTTTGCGTCACGGTTAACTAGAGGCACACAATTTATTTATTTATTTTATTTATTTAGTCATTTAGCAGACGCTTTTATCCAAAGTGACTTACAAATGAGGACAATAAAAGCAGTCAAAACTAACAAAAGAGCAACAATATATAAGTGCAAATGACAAGTCTCAGTTAGCCTAACAGAGTACACGTAGCAAGGTGTATATATATATA